TCTGTATTTTCTCTGAAACAGTCTGAAATAGTTAATTATTTGCCATCTTTTCAGTGAATTCTGGGCATTTGGGAGGTTCTCCTGTGCTTATCTTTAAAAACGCTTCTAAACGCAAACGCACATAAATGCGTTATCCAAACACGGCTAAACAGACATTTTTAAACCTACGTTTTCCAACAGTCAGTTTCCATTGTTCAGAAGTGTCCCATGTACATGGGGCCTTACTTTCACTTTCTGCTGTTTTGCTGAATGTTATGTGACAATATCCGCTCCATTCAGCAGAAGGAGAACTATAGACAGAAACGTCTATGGATTCCTTTACAGAATGTTGAGGATTATGGGATTTGAAGTCCAGGAAGTAAGCCAAATTTGGAACTTTTGGACCCTTTTGTGTTACAGTTACCAGAGAGACACTTGGGCAAGAAGGAACAGTGGAGCTGCTTTTCTCAGCTAGGCTCTCTTTCTTGGTGCTGAGGAAACCAATGATAGCAATCTGTTACATTCTGATCAGATTGCTGAGAGGCCAGACCAGCAGAGACACCTGAGGGAGCACAGCACAGACTGCAGCAGTAACATCAGCACTGTTGCCGCAGAGAGACCAGAGCATCCTCTCACCCTCTACTTCCCACCGCTGAATCTCTGGAAGCATTCTGTGGAGAGACTGAGGGCCCCCCTTTCTACAGAGAGAGTTCACAGTCACACCAGAAGAACTGTTAAAGCGGAGTTCCACCCATTTTTAGTAATTTACCTTATTATGAAGCCCCTGCTTAATGAAGTACAAGTTGTATATTTTTTTTTTTATACATACCTTTTTATCCATCTGCAAGCCTGCAGTTCCGGTCCCGACCGCCTAGGTGATGATGTCGTAAGGCGATTTGCAAGGTATCCTGGGATGTCGTTTCCTGTATCCCAGGAGTCCTTTGGTTTCCTGTAATGCGCGGACTTGGAAACCGGAAATTACGTGAATGGGTGGTGTTTCGCGCCATTTTACCAGAGTCCATGCTTATAGGAGGACATGTCTGCAGTATTGAAGTGCAGTGCTGTACAGGTTGCCTGACAGGGGAGGGGGGCAGGAACTTCATCTGTCCCCACCATTGCTATAGTAACCTGTACTGCACATGTCGCGCAGAGAACGAGTGTTGCATGCTGGGATAGCCAGCAGCACGAATCCAGGAAATGCCCACAGCCATCATGGTGCCTGCCTGCGTCACAGATCCTGGTAAGTATTAACGATTTTCAAAGTAATTACAATGATTTTAATATTGAATTATTCCAATTGTTAATGATATTTGTAATGTTATTGTGGATCTGTTTTTAAAAATAGTTTTTTAGGGGGACTGGAATTCCACTTTAACCACATGCCGCCCAGCCACTGTATAAATACGGCAGCAGGGCGGCACGGTTGGGTAAAAGCACATTTTAAAATGTGTGTTTTGTAAACAGATAGGGGGCGTGTGCGCAAGGCGCGACGCCACCCTACCTGGCCCTCCGATCACAGCTGCGGATGTCAGTCGCCGAGTCACAGCTGGTCGTTACCGGCTATGTCCCGGCGATCAGCGGCAATCGCTGACAGAGAGCACAGCTGCAGTAGCTGTGCTTTCTGTCAGTTCCCTGACAGCTCCTGACACGCTGATCGGGACAGAAGAGTTTCTCCCTCCCGATCAGCGGTGTCCCCTGCAGTACACACCCCGCCCCTAGTAAAACACTCCCCCTCGCACAGTTAACCCTTTCCCTGAAAAATAAACTTAACCCCTTCCTCCCCAGTGCCATTAGTACAGTGTCAGTGTTTTTTTTTTTTTGCACTGATCACTGTATTGGTGTCACTGGGGATGTCAGTGACCCCAAGTCAGTACCCCCCAATGTCAGAATGTCTGCTGCAGTCCCGCCATAAGTCGCTGATTGCCGCCATAAGTCGCTGATTGCCGCCATAAGTCACTGATCGCCGCCATAAGTCGCTGATCGCCGCCATTATTAGTATAAAAAAAAACTAAAAATCCCAGTATCTTTCGCGCCATTTGTAAATGCTATAACTTTCACGTAAACCAATAAATTTACACGTATTGGGGTTTTTTTTTTAGCAAAGACATGTCGCAGAATACATTTTGGCAGAAATTTATGACTAAATTTGATTTTTAAATTTTTTTTACTGGACATGTTTTATAGCAAAAAGTCCAAAATATTGTTTTTTTTCCTCAAAATTGTCAGCCTTTTTTTTATAGCGCAAAAAATAAAAACCGCACAGGCAATCAAATACCACCGAAAGAAAGCTCAATTTGTGGAAAAAAAAAAAGGATGTAAATTTCATTTATGTACCATATTGCATGACCGCGCAATTGTCCGTTAAACTAGCGCAGCGCTGAATAGCAAAAAATGGCGTAAATTGCAGTATTTATACCATAGTTTGTAGACGCTATAACTTCCACACAAAGCAATCAATATACACTTATTGGGATTTTTTTTTTACCAAAAACATGTAGCAGAATACATTTTTTGGCCTAAATTTATAACCAACTTTGAGTTTACTATATATTTTTTATAGCTGAAAATAAAAAATATTGTTTTTCTTAAAATTTTTGGCCTTTTTTTGTTTATAGCATGAAAAATAAAAAGCGCACAGGTGATCAAATACCACCGAAGAAAGCTCTATTTGTGTGAAAAAAAAGGACGTAAATTTTGTTTGGGTGCAGCATTGCATGACCCGCGCAAATTATCAGTTATTATTAGTGCAGCGCCGAGTAGCAAAAAGAGACCTGGTCATTAAGGGGGGTAAATCCTCAGGAGGGCAAGTGGTTAAGAGGGCACTGTCTTCTAGCAGGGAGTTATGGGAGGCAGGACATTATGTTTACTGTACCTATACTGAACCTACACTTGTACTGCATCATTGCTACACCTATACTGCATGTTTACTAAAACTGTCACTGAGTGGACCAACGCTTCTTAAAGGGTCCCAACGATAGCCGGCAGAAGAACAGCATAAAGGACTGCCCCTCCTTCATTAATATGGATAGTGCACATCCACTCGGTCTAGGCCTAGCATAGTTGCCATCATTACACTTTGGCAGCATAGTTCCTGTGTTCAGGAAATCTAGCTTTATTACTGCTCACTGCTGCACTTTAGGTGACCTTTCTATTCTTTATGCTGATCTGGACACAACGTCATCTTATTCTTGGTCCTTATTACTAATCCCCCTGTATGCTAACTTGTGTTATTTCCATTATTAACCCATTTCTATGCTTACTTCGTTATTAACCATATCAAGTGACAATATATTAGGTTCCCCTTTATGGACTGTACAACTACTGGGTACTAAGTATCAGGGGCGGACTGACAACTCATGGGGCCCCCGGGCAATAGGGGATCATGGGGCCCCTGTGTCCTTGCCCAAACTCAAAAAAGCCTTTGAAAAAGGTACCAGGGGCATCTCATTGGGCCCCCTACTGACCCCAGTCCCTCGGGCGGTGCCCGAGTTTTCCAAATGGTCAGTCCGCCCTTGCTAAGTATTGCTTCAGTGATTTTCTGTGACATTGCATGCTTTGTGTATCTAACCTGTTGTGTCAGAGAGGCTGAGGTTCTTGAGGAGGTTGAGGAAAAGAACAGAGAACCCATCCTATCCAGTGGCTCCTGAGGGAGTAGATTTTACATTTAACCCCCTCCCGTCCGGCCGTTGTATATAAACGGCCGGATGGTGGCAGTGCAGGGTAAGGTGCTCATTTATAATTGGCCTCCCTGCCCCCTGCTTGGGTGTGCTCCCTGGGAGCACGCAGCACCGCGATCCGGCTCCCGCTGTGTCCTCCGGACACAGTGGAACACCGATCATCGTACAGGACCTCTCTGCGAGGTCCAGATCATGTGATCACTGATTGGCCAATCAGTGATCACATAACTAGTAGTAAGCAAGATGTCACTTCTGACATCATTGCTTACTACGTGTAAAATCTGTGAATGATCACAGAGATCACATGGTACAGAGTAATTCACAACAGCCTTGTACCATGTGACAAGCTGTGACCAATCACAGCTCACACAGTATTTCTCAATGGCTGCAAGAATGCAGCCAGAGAGGAGAAAGGATGGTTTTTACAGCCTTTATGGGTGTAAAAGCAATCGGTGTAAAAAAAAATATATTGATTTATGATGAAATATTATTTATTTGCAACATTTTATTTTAAAAAAAAAAACCCTTTTTTTCTAAATTTTTTGACTTTTTCATTTACATAACAAAAAAAAATACAAATCCCAGTGGTGAATAAATACCACCAAAATAAAGCTTTATCTGTCTCAAAAAAAATGCTAAAAAAATGTTATATGTCTGCCTTGCAGTAAATGGGTCATGGGTTCGATTCCCGACCATGGCGCCTCCTGCATGGAGTTTGCATGTTCTCCCTGTGCTTGCGTGGGTTTCTTCCAGGTGCTCCGGTTTCCTCCCACTCTCCAAAGATATGCTGGTAGGTGAATTGGCTCCTGTCTACATTGTCCCTAGTATGTGTATGTATGAATGTGAGTTAGGGACCTTAGATTGTACACCCCTTGAGGGTTAGGGACTGATGTGAATGTACCATATATATGTAAAGTTCTGCGTACACTGACAGCGCTATATAAGTACCTGAAATAAATATGGGTACAGTGTTGCATGACCGCGCAATTGTCATTCAAAATGTGATAGCACTGAAAGCTGAAAATTGGCCTGGACAGGAAGGGGGTGAAAGTGTCCGGACTTCAAGTGGTTAAAAGAGAACTAAAGGGAATTGTTTTTTGTTATTTTGGATGGGGGGGGGGAGGGTCACAACCCATGTGGTTTTTTTTCTACCATTGGTGTCCTGTTGTGAAGATTTTCCTTCATTTCCTGCCCTAAAAGCAAAACAGGAAGTGAGAGGAAATCCCTCCAAAGTGAAAGAGTCCCATTCATGTCACCAGAACTAGTGTTCCTATTGGAAGATTTGCTCTCTCTTCCTGTTCTGGATGAGCCACATTTTGGATTTCTTTCACTTTCGGTGATATTGGGCACCGGGACAAATAGAAAAGGGGAATCTCCTTAATGGAGACATAAAAAGCCAAGAAAAATAACCTGACAGGGATTCAAGTTGACAGCAGGGGTGCAGACTTAGGATCCCAGTGCAGGGATGGTGGGAATGGGCACTGCAGGTGTGCAGACCTGGAAATGCAGCACAGGGATGGTGGGAACCCCTCATAATGGGCACAACAGGTGTACAGACATGGGAACACAGTACAGGGATGATGGGAACCCTTCATAATGGGCACAGAGGGTGTACAGACATGGGAACTCAGCACAGGGATGGTGGGAACCCCTCATAATGGGTACAGCAGGTATACAGACATGGGAACTCAGCACAGGGATGGTGGGAACCCCTCATAATGGGCACAGCAGGTGTACAGGTCTGGGAACTCAGCACATGGATGGTGGGAACCCCTCATAATGGGCACTGCAGGTGTGCAGACCTGGAAACTCAGCACAGGGATGGTGGGAACCCCTCATATTGGGCACAGCAGGTTACAGACCTGGGAACTCAGCACAGGGATGGTGGGAACCCCTCATAATGGGCACAGCAGGTGTATAGGTCTGGGAACTCAGCACAGGGATGGTGGGAACCCCTCATAATGGGCACAGCAGGTGTACAGACCCAGAAACGTAGCACATGGATGGTGGGAACCCCTCATAATCGGCACAGCAGGTGTACAGGTCTGGGAACTCAGCACAGGGATGGTGGGAACCCCTCATAATGGGCACAGCAGGTGTACAGGTCTGGGAACTCAGCACAGGGATGGTGGGAACCCCTCATAATGGGCACAGCAGGTGTACAGGTCTGGGAACTCAGCACAGGGATTGTGGGAACCCCTCATAATGGGCACAGCAGGTGTACAGGTCTGGGAACTCAGCACAGGGATGGTGGGAACCCCTCATAATGGGCACAGCAGGTGTATAGGTCTGGGAACTCAGCACAGGGATGGGTGGAAACTCTGAATATTGATCACAGCAGATGTGCAGACATGGGAACTCAGCACAGGGATGGTGGGAACCCCCTACAATGGGCACAGCAGGTGGCCATGTTTGGTCAATGATGTCACCACCATCCCCACCCCTTCCCTTATATAACTGATGACAGCTCAGTCAGACGTCATTCTGCTAAGTGAACTGCTGTGATTGGTCGGCTGTTTTTTCTCTGGCGAGTGGTGTGCACTGTGATTGACAATTTATTTACAAGAAGGGACACTTTTTGGGGACTTTTATTTCTAGTCAAACGTTTGGGTGTGTTTGTGAATGGGTAGGGGTACTTTTTATTTCATACTCATTCACAGGCGGGGGTGGTATCTGTAGACCCCTTATTATTAAAGGGGGCTTCTAGATTCCAATAACCCCCCCCACCCCCACATATCCCCACAACCACCAGGCCAGCATTGTGGGGAAGAGGCCCTTGTCCATATTAATAAGATGCTTTGCCACGGGGGAACAAGGCACGGCCCCCCCATCATGATGAGGACATGTGACCTGATATGGTTTAACCACTTCCAGTCCGGACACTTTCCCCCCCCCCCCTTCCTGTCCAGGCCAATTTTCAGCTTTCAGCGCTATCACACTTTGAATGACAATTGCGCGGTCATGCAACACTGTACTCATATGAATGTTTTTGCATTTTTTGAGACAGATAAAACTTTATTTTGGTGGTATTTCACCGCTGGGATTTTTTTTTTTGCTATATAAATGAAAAAGTCCCAAAATTTTGAAAAAAAGTGTTTTTCTTATAAAATGTTGCAAATAAAAAATATTTCATCATAAATCTTGTCCAAAATTTATTCAGTCATCTTTTTAGTTAAAAAAAAAAAAAAAACCCAAATTAGTTTATAACCAAAAATTATAATTTTAAAAAAAATATTTAACATTTTTACTTTTTTTTTTTTATATTATTATTTGTTTTTTTTTTTACATACTGTCACCCTAGCAGTACAGTGTCACCATAGTAAACACTGTACTACTTGTGGGGGGGTGATGACGATTTTTTATTTTTTTTTACACTGATTGCTTTTACACCCATAAAGGCTGTAAAAGCAATCATTTCTCCTTCTCTGTGGCTGCATTCTTGCAGCCATTGAGAACTACTGTGTGAGCTGTGATTGGTCACAGCTTGTCACATGGTACAAGGCTGTTGTGAATAGCCCTGTACCATGTGATCTCTGTGATCATTCACAGATTTCACACAGTAGTTCTCAATGGCTGCAAGAATGCAGAGAGAAGGAGAAATGATTGCTTTTACAGCCTTTATGGGTGTAAAAGCAATCAGTGTAAAAAAAAAAAATCTTCATCACCCCCCCACAAGTAGTACAGTGTCTCCATGGTGACACTGTACTGCTAGGGTGACAGTATGTTAAAAAAAAAAACCCAAATAATAATATAAAAAAGGACACAGCGGGCACCGGATCGCGGTGCTGCACGCTCCAAGGGAGCGCGCACAGCCCAAAATGGCGGGCGCAATTTATGAACGGCAACCCGCCCCTGGACTGCCACCGTCCGCCCGTTTATATACAGCGGCCGGACAGGATGTGGTTAAGAAGGGAAAGGGTGCATACTTGTCATAACTGGCATGCTTGAATTAAGGGCTTGCTGTATGGGCACCTCATGATTTTTTTTTTTTGGGGGGGGGGAGCAATTAATGTTTTGGACCATCTCTTACCTCTGCTCTAATAGGAATAAGTGAAACTGAAAGTTCATATTTCCTCAGAATTTTTGCTGAAAGGTATTGGTGAAATTGGTGATTTCACACAGTAGTTCTCAATGGCTGCAAGAATGCAGCCAGAGAGAAGGAGAAATGATTGCTTTTTTACAGCCTTTATGGGTGTAAAAGCAATCGGTGTAAAAAAAAAAAAAAATTTTCATCACCCCCCACAAGTAGTACAATGTCATTATGGTGACACTGTACTGCTAGGGTGACAGTATGTTTAAAAAAAAAAAAAAAAAATAATATAAAAGTTCATATTTCCTCAGAATTTTTGCTGAAAGGTATTGGTGAAATTGGCTGGAAAAAGCTCCATTCAGCTACTTTGGACCTGTTCTTTTTTAGTCTCAATATTATAATTTCTTTTTACAGAACAAAAAATCACAAAGCAAAAAACAAAAAATCAATCAGGAATCTTGGCTCCGTGCACAGTATTGTTTTTTTAGGCTGATATCAGCTTTTTTTTTTTTCTGCTCCCAGAAGCTAAATAGTCTAGCAGCGTTTTTCAAGCTTCGGCGTTTAGGAGCAGAACAGTCATTGTTTTTGTAGAGATTTTGGGAGTGTTTTTCCAGGATAGGTGTCCCAAATGCTACCAACAGCTACTAAATTCTACTAAAATGCTCGTAACAGCTTTTCCTTATAGCTTTTTTCCGCTACATGTGCTGTAAAAACGCTAATAAAATGCTAACACCTAAATGTTTCTAAACACTAATAAAATGCTACTAAAACTGCTGTTAGCATTTTATTAACTAGCATTTTTTCCAACATTTTTTGAGCTTAACCCCTTCACGCCTAAGGGTAAAACAAAGCTAAATGCCTAAGCACAATTTTGCACCGTTGACATGTGATAGTAAAACCGTCCATATCATCACAACTACTTTGTACATCCAGGTGGATTATACCTTGATTTTTTTAGGACAAATTGGGCTTTCATTTGGTGGTAAATGTTAATGGATATCTCCTGTTTTTTTTTATTATCAAAGGAAAACTGGCCCTAAATAGTAAAAAAATAATATTTTTTTTATTTAGCTATGTGTTTCTTGTTACTACCATAACCTACCACCAAAGAACAACCCAAAATAAATTCTCCAGCTCTTGACGATCGCAGCAATACCATATATGTGGATGTTATTTGTACCCGGAGTACAGCCCAGAAACAATAGTGCACATTTTGTTTTTGTCTTTTTTTTTTTTTTTTACCTAAAACACACTGACACTAACTGACACTGATACCAACAACGTCAGAAGCGTCTTACCTGGGCTAAAGAAAAACAGACCTGTTCTGTTGCTCAGTGGTCCAAAGTCCTCTTTTCTGATGAGAACAACTTTTACATCTCATTTGGAAACCAAGGACCCAGAGTGTGGAGGGAGAATGGAGAAGCCCAGGGCCTCGAGTATGGAGGAAGAATGGAGAAGCCCAAGGGCCCCGAGTATGGAGAAAGAATAGAGAGGCCCAAGGGCCCCAAGTATGGAGAAAGAATGGAGAGGCCCAAGGACCCCGAGTATAGAGGAAGAATGGAGAGGCCCAAGGACCCCGAGTATAGAGGAAGAATGGAGAGGCCCAAGGACCCCGAGTATGGAGGAAGATGGAGAGGCCCAAGGACCCCGAGTATGAAGGAAGAATGGAGAGGCCCAAGTACCCCGAGTATGGAGGAAGAATGGAGAAGCCCAAGGACCCCGAGTATGGAGGAAGAATGGAGAAGCCCAAGGACCCCGAGTATGGAGGAAGAATGGAGAGGCCCAAGGACCCCGAGTATGGAGGAAGAATGGAGAGGCCCAAGGACCCCGAGTATGGAGGAAGAATGGAGAGGCCCAAGGACCCGAGTATGAAGGAAGAATGGAGAGGCACACACTGCAAGATGCTTGAAGTCCAGTGTGAAGTTTCCACAGTCTGTGTTGATTTGGGGAGCCATATCATCTGCTGGTGTTGGTCCACTGTGCTTCATTAGGTCCAGGGTCAACGCAGCCGTCTACCAGGAGATTTTGGAGCACTTCATGCTTCCTTCCACAGACGAGCTTTATGGGGATGCTGACTTCATTTTCCAGCAGGACTTGGCACCGCCCACACTGCCAATGACCGTGGGATTACTGTGCTTGATTGGCCAGCAAACTCGCCTGACCTGAACCCCATAGAGAATCTATGGGGCATTGCCAAGAGAAAGATGAGAGACATGAGACCGAACAATGCAGAAGAGCTGAAGGCCGCTATTGAAGCATCCTGGTCTTCCATAACACCTCAGCAGTGCCACAGGCTGATAGCTTCCATGCCACGCCGCATTGAGGCAGTAATTGCTGCAAAAGGGGCCCAAACCAAGTACATATGCATGCTTCTACTTTTCAGAGGTCCAATATTGTTCTATGTACAGTCCTTGTTTTATTGATTGCATGGAATATTCTCATTTTCTGAGATTGTGGATTTGGGCTTTTCATGAGCTGTAAGCCATAATCATCACAATTTTTTATTTATTTACTACAGGTACTTATATAGTGATGTCAATTTACACAGCTCTTTACATATATATTGTACATTCACATCAGCCCCTAACCCTCAAGGGGCGTACAATCTAAGATTCCTAACTACATTCA